ACGTTTTCTCAATATATATATACTTCTATTTCAGAGCCTAAAAGATTCAGAAAGGAACTTTATGGGAGCAAGAAACAATGCACACAAAATTCCACAAAGACACTGCTTCCTTCCCTAGAATAGGGGATCATTTAATGAAATGTATCTCCCAAAATCTCTGGGGCAGAGAGAAACTGTAGAGCAATATCATAAAATCTGCAGCTGTGTTGCTGTTCTTAATAGGCCACGCTGTTTCCTTAGACCTCAGGAAGCCAAAACACACAGTCAGAGCAGAACTTATCTTAACAGGAATTGGCCAAAGCAGCACAGCAGTTAAGATAGATCAGCATCAAAACTGTTATTGAAAAGATTGTACACATCTTTAGGAATTTTCCCTTCAAGCAATTTGCTTACTCCAGGAAAGCTGTATCTATTTATGTTTCCAAACACTGGCATTTTTAGAAATAAAAACAATAGGATAGGCAAATAAACTTTACTATATATTGATAAGCATTAATAACTTACTTTTATTGCCCACCAAGGCAATCAGTGGCTGAGTTTCCAACTCCTCGCTCACTTTCTTCACCACAGTATACCAGTCTTCTAAATTCTCGAAGCTTTGATAATTTGTAATGTCATATACCAAGAGGATTCCCTGTCACAAAAGAGTTACAGAATATTTGTAATACACTACTTGAAAATAATATTAATACTAAATACTCTAAGTAATGCTTCAGGTAAGCCTAGAATCATGTAAAAATACAAATGAGGGCTATTCTATATATAAACTTACTTTGACTTAAGCTATTAGCAGACAGATAATACTGAATCTTTTCATTCAAGATAAACCCAAACCAAGTAAAGCAAGCTAAATAATAATTTTATCAAGTTATAAGTGGTTTTCTAGTAAGATATCTGGGATATGCTTGGTAAGTTATAATCAATGTAAGAAAATATGACAGAGGTAGAAAAAAGATGCAAGGCCTACAATCCTGTCTGTTACTTTCATGAGGTCAAATATTTAAACCTTTCAATAAAAAAACCATCTGCTGCTGCTCTTTTTAAATATTTTTTAAATGGAGATTCCATGACATCCCTTGATAGGCCATTTCAGTGTTTTAACACAATTTTCTTTAAATGAAATAAATCGATTTCCTCTTTTGGTCCTCTGTGCATCTGGAGAACAACATGTGAGTATCCTCCTTGTAATAACCCTTCGTGTACTTGAAGATAGTTAAGAAACTCCTTTACTGTCTCCTTTCCAGAATAAACAAACTCAATTCTCCAAACTTGCCTCAAAGGACCTATTTTCTATCCCTTTAATCATAGTTGTTGGTTCTTCCCAGGACACTCTCCATACAATTTTTTGACATCCTCTTTAAAATGAGCAATGTAAAACTAGATATGATACTGTAATAAGAGCATGAACAAAGCCAAATATAACAGAGGGATTGCTTCCTGCCTCTTATATATCATATTCCTTTTAATATATCCCATTATTTTGTGGGGGAAGGAGAAGTACGTACACACAAAAATAGCAGTGCCAGATTCTTGATTCTTATCCAGTTTGTGGTCAAACACTTAATACAAAGCTCTGCATACAATGTAAGTCTGGACCCTAATAGCATTTATGTCTCTTTCTTCTTAAGTTATAATCATAAATGTTGACTATTTTTTTTGCACCTATAATATACTACACATCTCTAGATCTTTTCATTAATCATCAGAACAAGCATGCAAAGCTGGTGTTATTATTCTCATTTTACTAATAAACAAAGATTAAAATAACCAAGGTCACACAGCTAGTTAAGTAATTGAGCCAGAATTTGAATCAAATATAAACTTTATATTTGAATAAATATAAAGTTCACTCATTCATTCCACAAACATTTGTCTGCCAACTATATGCCTAGCACTGTGCTGGGTGCTAGGTATATAAATTCCAAACCTCCAGGAACTCACAGTCTTGCATCAAAGCCAAGCACAAAAACAGACAAGTATACCAACACAGGAGTCACAGACAGTGATATCTTGGTAAATATTTACCAATTCGCTCAGGGAATGGTACGGGTGGGGATCGGAACACTGATTCCTGGTCTAGACAATCAACAAAACAGTACCTCAAGCCTGATTTGTCATGTTTGCCCATTTCTGTGGTGTAAATACTGTGTGGCTATTTTCACGTTATCAAAGTCACTCACTGATCACAGAATGTGGTAGGACATCACTATATAGCACCTCTACCACACAGGTATACTAAACATAAATAATCTCGAAAGCATAGATAATAAAAATATATAGCAAAATAACCCTAGCTGGTTTGGCTCAGTGGATAGAGCACTGGCCTGCAGACTGAAAGGTCTTGGGTTCGATTCTGGTCAAGGGCACATGCCTGGGTTGCAGGCTCGGTCCCCAGTAGGGGGCGTGCAGGAGGCAGCCAATCAATGATTCTCTCTCATCACTGATGTTTCTCTCTCTCCCTCTCCCTTCCTCTGAAATCAATAAAAATATATTTAAATATATATATGTGTGTATATATATATAGCAAAATAATTAGTAAGTAAGCATATATTTGTTTTTTATATAATTTGTAAGTTTATATATAATTTTTAACCATAAATGTATTCAACTGGCTCACAAAAATTCCTGAACTTAACAATAACTCTTCCAAATTGGTTCTAGCATACTGCTGTTATGGTCTTCCAGTATCATGCTCTTTTATTAAACTACACTGGCCTCCAAGTCACTTATTCTCTCTGAATCTTGGGTTATTTGCCTCTGAAATTAGATAACTGAGTTAAATCCCTTCCAGTTTAAATATTCTATAATTATTATGCAATATCACTTGCCTGATTCACTTTAGTAACTTAGACATCTATTTCTGTCTTCCCAAATGCACTGAAATAATGCCCAACACAGAATTATCCTATATAAAAAAGGCTAATATACAAATTGACCAAATGGCGGAATGACCAGTCACTATGGTGCGCACTGACCACCAGGGGGAAGACGCTCAACACAGAAGCTGTCCCCTGGTGGTCAGTACACTCTCACAAGTGGAGCACCGCTCAGCCAGAAGCTGGCTGTGGGTGAGTAAAGTGGCAGTGGCAGAAGACAGCCTCAGCAGAACATCCCCTGAGGGCTCCCGGACTGCAAGAGGGAGCAGGCTGAGCTGAGGGACCACCCTTCCCCACCTCCCCCACCACCCCCAGTGCATAAATGTTGTGCACTGGGCCTCTAGTTTGAAATAATGAGCATAATCCCACTTTTCTTATTAAGAATAAACCCCAGAACTGACCTCTAAAGAAAGCTAATCTTCAATCTACTAACTCCACCTCCAGTTGTCATGAGTGATAATACATGTGGTAAAAGAGCTCTGCCCTGGAAGTCAAATTATTGCTGGGTTGCAGTCCTGGCCCTACTATCTACTGCTTTGGGGCAATGCTTCTATCATCACCTTCATAATACTTGCCATGCCTAAGTGACTAAGTGAAGTAATAAAAAATACTTATTTTAAAACTAACACAATTGCTGGAAATTATTTTTATTATTCTGAGTGAAAAAGAATCACAGTTTCAAAGCAACTTAATGGTAGTTTTTACACTCATAAATTGAGCCTTGACCTAAGATGACTCTTAAACCTTAAGATTTGAGGAACCATTCTAATTAATATATGCAAAACTTCATCTCAACATGGGTCAATACTTGAACATGATAGAACACATGCAAATAAAACATGGCTACAATCTCTTAATAATCAGTACTAGACAGAGCTATGTAATAACAATTAAATACCATTGATCTAGACCAGGGTTCTATGGCCCACAGGTCAAATATAGTCCACATCCCATACTTTCATTTATTTATTTGTTTTTTTAAATATATTTTTATTGATTTCAGAGAGAGATAGAAACATCAATGATGAGAATCACTAATCAGCTGCCTCCTACACACCCTCACTGGTGACTGAGCCTGCAACCCAGGCATGTGCCCTTGACCGGAATTGAACCTGGGACCCTTCAGTTTGCAGGCCGTCATTCTATCCACTGAGCCAAACCAGCTAGGGCCCCATATTTTTAAATAAACTTCTAATGAAATATACTCATATTCATTGTTACCAATAACTGCTTTTGCACTACAACCGCAAAGTTGAGTAGCTGCAGCAGAGACAGTAGGGCCTACAGAATCTAAAATAGTTTCTATCTGGCTCTTTAAGGGAAAATTTACCAATTCCTGATATAGACCAATATGTCCTGTATTTCCCAATCAGTGATACCTATATATCTTCCAGGACTCAAGAAAGATAGAAGGATAAGCCTTTTTCATTAAACTAGCTATCTATCAACTCAAAAATCTATCTGTTCATATACCAGTTCTCAACAGCATTCATGTAAAAACTACGATTTTATCTCTGCTCCTAAGATGACAATTTTGTACCAGTTTTGACCTTCACCTCTATAGTGAAAACAAGAAAATCAAAAACACTAAAATACAAAAGAAATTCCAGGCCAGAAGGGTACTATATTAATCAGGTGATCACTTCATTAAGTATATAAATGTCTAACCACTATGTTGTACACCTGAAACTACTGTAATACTGTATATCAATTGTAATTGAAAAGTAATTTTTTAAAAAATAAAGGGGAAAATAAGAAATTCCAGGGCTTTCGGTTTCACCTCCAACATGTAAAGAGCTTGGAAGTTGTCACATTTGTCCTACAATCAGAAAAGAAAGCTAAACAAACAGAAAATAAATTACTTTTCTTGGATATAATAGAGCTGAGTTTGGCAGGTAATTTCCACCCTGAAATCCGGGAAGAGAAGTAAATTCAGAGAGTTATAACCCAAATCTGCTTACCTAGAGCAGAAACCATCAGAGCCAGTAAATGGTAGAAACATTTAAATGATAAATTTGATAAAATGCTGAAGGTTGAGTATGGTCTAGCTTGAAAATTCCTGGGGGAGTGAATTTTATCTCCAAGAAGCCCACCAGTTCCTCATAAAGAATCAAGAAAGATTCCTTCCTGGCTCTGGCATGGGAAGGGAGAAAGTAACCATTGTAAAATATGCACAGAGCATTATCCATAAAAAGAGATATTCTCACCAAGAGAAAAGGCTTAATCAGAGTCTTAACTGATGACATGGAGGAAGGGCAGTTCCTAATTACAGCCCCCTCTATCACCCTGTATCACCTAAGTGGGAAGAGCTAAGAAACCCCTGTGAAGGTCACAGCCCACCAAAAGGCCATGACTTAATCATAAGAGTACAGAATGTTTTCCCTCCCTCATACTTTACCAAACACCAACACAACTGCAGTATAATAGTAGTGGATTATAGCTGAAAAAGCTACAAGACACAAACTCCAACTAAGAAAGAATTCTTTAAGACACCCAGAAAAAAAGGAGAGAAAAACTCAAAGACATAGAGGAATTTGATGTCTCTGGCACCTACAGCTTCAGTTAACATTAAATTCAGACTAACTCCTGGCCATGTTAACATAAAACCTCACAATAAAGGCCTATTTGACTGAGTTCTTATTACTCAATACATCATGTCTAGCTTTCAACAAAAAATTAGAACACTAAAAGGCTGTTTGAAAAGAAAAAGCAATCATTAGAATCAAACTCAGATATAATAAAGTTGGAATTATCAGAC